GTTTCTGACTTCTTGGGTAGATCGTGGGGGCGGGAGGCCGGAGCCCCACCTCTGCTTCAACCCCACAGCTGTGCCCTGCATTTCATATGCTGGAGTTCAATACATGGGGGCGCTTGCAAAGAATTGATTCCGGCGCTCAAATGATTTCTAAGCGTCATTTTAAGAGACTCAGCGAAAGTGGTCCCCCAAAAGGCTGTCCCACGTTGGACGCTCTCCAAGGGTGCTGTGTCGCAGCCGCACTAACGCTGGACACTTCATCTTTTTCATTTTCCTAGTCTCATGGGCAAGATCCTGTATCTCCCTCTTCCTTCATTTGTATTTCCATTACTGCCAGTGAGGGTTTAAGACTCTTCCTCCATGTTCATTGGTCAATTACATTTTTTTTCCCCTGTGAATTGCCTGCTCACTTCTATGCTCTCCCCATTTTTGTTCGATATTGATCTTTAGGGGCTATTCTCATGGTATTATCGGGAAAGAATGCGAAGTCTTTCAAAATCTGGGGCACACATTCCGGTGACATTCTTCTTAAATCTCTGAGTGAAACGTTTAATCGTTTTCCATAGTCTTACCATTCTGAGATAAGCTGTACATGGTCATGATACATTATTTTTTCTCTAACGATGGATTCAGTTTGCTAATGTTTATAGTTTACGTTGAATGCATGAGCGGCTCATGGTGTGCGTGTGTGTGTGTGTGTACGTGTGTGTACTCCATCCTTGTGTAATTTTAAAATCAGAAGTGTGCCCTTAGGTGTACCTATGTGACCTAACAAGTGATTCTCACATATTTAATGTTAAAGAACGACAGATGATGGCCCTGGCCGGTGCGGCTCAGGTGGTTGAGCGTCGTCCTTGCACTGAAGGGTGGCTGGTTCGTTTCCTGGTCAGGGCACATGCCCGGGGGCAGGCTCTATCCCCCCGTGTGGGGCGTGCAGGAGGCAGGCGATGGGTTTCACTCTCACATCGAGGTTTCTCTCCCTCTCTCCCTCTCCCTTCCCCTCTCTCTCAAAACCCATGAGAAAATCTTTGGGAAAAACACCAGGTGACTTGGAACACTGACTCCCAGGTCAGCCTTGCACGGCAGCCCAGCGTAGGCATGGCTCTGCTTTGTTCGCTGGGACACCTTGACCCTGACGCAGCTCCGACGGACACTCCCTGAGAAACCCTATCTTGCAGCCTGGACTCCTTCCTGCACGGCCTCCACGCCCTCTTCAAGGGCGACTTCAGGGTCGCCGCCCGGGATGAGTGGGTGTTCGCCGACATGGACCTGCTGCAGAAGGTGGTGGCCCCAGCCATCAGGATGGCCCTCAAGCTCCACCAGGTCAGCACCCTCCTTATAAGGACCAGCCTGAAGCCGTAGGAGAGGAATTCAGCTCTGAGAACGCGGTCCCCTTCCCCGTGCGACATTCACAAGGGGGTTTGTGACTTGGGGACGGAGCACCGAGGCAGCCCGCATGCTCCTGACCGGCCAGCGCAGGTTGCCCTGCAGAGCGGTTAGGGGTGGGGATGCTGACGAGTATGGGGGGGAGTTGACTAGAGAAGGGGACCAACCAGAGGCGCCCCACAGTCCTGGGAAGTCCTGGGAACGTGAGCCATGCAGCAATTCCCTGGGCAAGTCCAGCGGTTGGGACGGTGGGACAAGGCGTCCTCTGTCCAGCTCAGGGTCCAAAGAGCAGAGGGTGAGGCCTGGGAGTGGGTCCTGACCGCGTCCCCCAGCCTCGGCCCCGTCCTCCCCCCAGGACCAGTTCACCTGCCCCGACGAGTACGAGGACCCCGCGGT